GACTTCCTGAGGAAACTCCAAAACCTCATTCTTCCTGAAAATACCATCCTAGCTACCATGGATGTAGAAGCCCTCTACACCAACATTCCACACAAAGATGGATTGCAGACCATCAGGAACAGCATCCTCAATAACAACACTGCACACCTGATTACAGAACTCTGAGACTTCATCCTCACCCACAACTACTTCCAATTCAGAAACAATTTCTATCTCCAAATCAGTGGCACAGCCATGGGCACTTGTTGGCATATTGTGGTGCCATGCATCTTTATGGCTGACCTTGAACAACGTTTCTTCAGCTCTTGCCCCCTAACACCGCTACTTTACTTACGCTACACTGATGACATCTTCATCATATGAACCCACGGAGAAGAGACTCTTGAAGAATTCCACAAGGATTTCAACAACTTCCACCCCACTACCAACCTCAGCCTGGACCAGTCCACAAGGGAAATCCACTTCCTGGACACTACAGTACAGTTAAATGATATACAAATTTTCACCACCCAATATCAGAAACTTACTGACCGCTACACTTACCTACATGCTTCCAGCTTCCATTCCAGACACATTTTTCAGTCAATTGTCTCTGTCTGTGGAGTTGTATTGTAGGGCTTGGCTGTATACAGTCACCTACAGGATCTTTAGAGAGCATTCCTAGAACTGAAATACCCACCTGGGGAAGTCAAAAAACAAATTGACAGCCAAAAAAATACCCAGACACGAACTACTTCAAGACAGACCCAAAAGAGAGAAAATAACAGAACTCCTCCTGTTACCTACAGTATATAACTCAGACCCCTCCAACACAATCTACAACCTATCTTGGAAAATGAATCCTCACTCTGAGGCCTTGGGAGAAAAGCCTATTCTTGCTTACAGACAGCTCCCTAACCTGAAATGTGTTCTTTCTGATAACCATGCCACACAATCACATCATAAACCTCCAGGAACCCAGCCCTGCAACCAAAAAGATGCCAACCCTGCCCACATCTACACTGGCAAATTCATCACTGGAGCAAACAACATAAGCCACAAAATCAGTGTCATTTGACTGTACATCCAGTAATTTGATCTATGCCATCAAATGCCAGCAGTGCCCCACTGCTATATATATTGAACAAACTGGACGGTCTCTGCAGGAAAGAATCAATGGACTCAAATCAGATATACGTAAAGGGAATATACAGAAGCCTGTTGGTGAGCATTTCAGCTTGCCTAACCACAGTCTGACAAACCTGCAAGTAGCTGTCTTGTCACAAACCAGCTCTACAAGCCAAATACACAGAGAAGTTCTGGAATCCCAGTTCATCCACAAATTCAATTCACATGCTAATGGACTCAATCATGATATAGGCTGGTGGGGACTCTATCTACTTAATAACCACTGAAGGTGCTAACAGCTCCCTGAGTGGTATCCTTCCTGTTTTAGGAATCTGTCTATTGACTTTGATTTTTATCTGTTTAGGTTTAAGTACCCATTCTCCAAATACTTAATGATGCTCTGTCTCCAACCCCCTCCCTTTTTCTTTCTCTCCCCAGTCCCTTATTTATTTCGAGTTTTCATATCCCCAACTTATAACTCTGGTCATTTGGAGAAGTGGGCTGTGCCCACGAAAGCTCTTGATATCATCTACATGTTCCGTTAGTCTATAGAGTGCTACCAGACCATTTGTTGTTTTTCTGTAACAGACTACTTTGGCTACCCCCTGAAGCTCTTGTCCCTTTTGCAATTAATGCAAGCATCTAGCATTTTGAAGGTGTTTGACACCCATGTGTGATTGCTTCTGGTTGTCAGAGTTCTAGTCTTTTCTCTCTGGCTGGAGTTCATACTTGTGGTTTCCAAATTCATGTGATCAGATAGTAGTTAACGCTCCCCCACCTCCTGCTACATGCATACATAGAACAATCTCATTAAGTATTAAAAACAGTAAGGCACAGAGCCACCAATCTGTTGTAACAAGAATAAAAGCAAAAAGCATAATGTGGTCAATGCTCACATCTAAATGTGCATGTTGCTTCATAGCAAATAGATTAACGTACAGTGTGAGTTGAACAATACATCAAAATGCACAGTACCATCTAGAGTCAATGCACAGTGCCAGCTGAGGACTTGACATGTCTGGAGGGATCAGCTATGCTAGTTACTCACTGCCATGGGTAAAATGTGCTAAATAAGTCCCCTCCCAAGCTTCTCATGCCCCCCAGAATATGTTCTGTGCCTCTTTGGGGAAAGGGGGCTATCCCCTGATTTGAGACCTTGTGTTCTAGGGGTTCAAGTGCTCTTGTGCCCAACTCAAGCATATTGCAAGGTTCCTAACTGGGGGTGCTCTGTAGTTTGGTGGGTCGACCTGAGGGCTGGAAATCACAAATCCTAATTCTGCCACTGACTCTGTGTGGTCTAGGTAAGACCTTCAGCCTTTGGCACAAACCCCACTTTTACTCGAGGAAAATGACACACATTGCAAGTTTTTGTGGGGATTCATTTATCTGGTTGTGTTGCAAGTGTAAACAATGTAACTTTGCAGTGTATTAACCATTTTCTTTTGTCACAGACTGCAGTTTATTCCTGCTTCTGAAATTTCCTTTTCCAATTCCTTTCCCTCCTCACTATTAGAGGTGTAGGTAACATAACTGGTATCTTGCTTCTCCCAGGAAGCTGCTGCTGGCTTTCAGAGTGTACTGGTTCAGGCCTATCTCTGAGTAGGGGCAGTAGCAGACCCTTCACAGGAAGTAACTCCAAGATGGACAATTATAGAATAAACTGGTCATAAGGAAGTTTCTCGCAGTTGCTATTTAGGCCTTACATAGCACTTACTATCAGTAGATCTCAGGGAGCTCTGCAAAGGTCAGTAACATTATCTCCATTTTACAGATTGGCCTTTGTTCCTTAGTTTTGCCCAATACCTTGGCCATGGTTATCCAAGAACACAGTGGCAGAATAAAACCAGTATCCTGAGCACCAGTCTGATGCTCTGACTGCTGGTTTGCTTACCTTAGGCAGTTGGTGATTGCATACATATGAACACATTCGGAATTTACTTACATCAGTGATTTTCTGTATCCTACTTAATATAACTGTGTGGATGTTCTTCTTAGGCGTATCTAATCTTTCATTAAAAGCCTATTATGACAACTTATTTTGGGGAAGATCTGGGTTATTTCATTTGTACTGCATTTGTACTTTTCTGAGACCTAAACAGACATTATCTTCTTTGCCTCAACTTGCCACAAAGTGCTTTCACTGAAGTAGGAAGCACTAGCTTATATATAAACTGTAATATTTTTTTTTCTGCATGTATTGTTCATAGCTATCTGTTTTGGAAGGAAGAGCAAGATTGTGATTGTCATGATTAGGGTTAGCCAGCAGCTTGGGGATTATGGGGTTAACTACACCTAGCCAGGTGGAGTGACCAATAGGAATGTAGGTGGGACTTTTCAGCTTAGAAAAGAGGAGACTGAGGGGGGAGTATGATAGAGGTCTATACAATCATGAGTGGTGTGGAGAGGGTGAATAAAGAAAAGTTCTTCATTAGTTCTCATAATAGAAGAACTAGAGGACACCAAATGAAATGAATGGACAGCAGCTTTAAAACTAATAACAGAAAGTTCTTCTTCACACAGCACATAGTCAACCTGTGGAACTCCTTGCCACAGAAGGCTGTGAAGGGTAGAACTATAACAGAGTTTAAAGAGAAGTTAGATAAATTCATGGAGGTTGGGTCCATGGAGTGCTATTAGCCAGGGGGTAGGAATAATAAAAGTTCTTTCTTTTCTTTTTATTAATCTGGCAGTGGTTAATTGTGTACCCTGTGATTTTTATTTTAGGGGTGAGATTTCCCAAATGATCTTTCCCCTGATTTCTTTATCAACATTTGGGTGGTGGCAGCAGAAGTTTTATTCCCAAGATCTAGGTTTTTAAGATTTTGGGGGAAGTTTTATACCAAAGCCTGGTAGATAAGGCTTTGGGGTACACTTGCTGGCCCCCACTTCTGCATTTATCATGCCAGAGTGGGGAAGGAGCCATGACAGTGATCCTTAAACTAGATCAACAGTGACAGAAACAACTTACCACTCTTTATAGAGAAACATTACACACCAATGCAGTTATCAAGTATTTGTATTTGGTAGAGTAATGCCAAACGTAGAAAAAATTCAGATACTCTTTTTGTGGTTCATCTGTCTCCCCCTACTGGAAGTTAATAGCCCATACTTCAGATCCAGGCTAGTGAGTTAATCAAAGAAAGAAAATTACAAATGTGCTAAATGGAAGTCTTGACCTTAATTGAAGGAAGTCATCAGGGTGTTAATTGTCCTGAAAATACTGGTTCTGGAGTTAGAAGCTGTCAGACCAAACTGATGAACAAGTTAAAAATAAACTTTTTAGCCTTACCAGGTGCAGGATATAGCACTGCAAAGAGATTGCTGTGATGCTTAGTTAAAATCTGATTTACCAGCATGATGTGCTCCAAAAAGTCTAAAATAGTCTATAAGACAACCTGCGCCAACTTCACAAATAGCTTCAGGACTCAAAGATTACAGCTGGGAATTGGTGAGAGGAAAGAGTTATCAGACACGAATAGCCTACTTAAGATTGCGTTTTCAGGAAGCGAGCTGCATTTCATAACATCAGAGACTTGGGAAAACACTAGCTTCCTCTCAGTCCCTTCAAAATCTGAAGCAGGTCAGTACTTGCGAAAAGCAGTCATTAAAAGAACTTTGCAGAGTCAGTCACTTAGCTTCTCCTCCTCTCCATACTTGCACTGGCTTTTGTTTGGCCATTACTGCTGTAGACTAAACACATAGCTCTGACTTGGTTAGAAATGATCTTCCATACCGTGGATTTAGAGGCAGTACACAGACTTCTGAGGTGTGAGTTTAAAAATGAGGTGTAGTCACATTTGCTATTGTCACATGGATGTTTCCCAGAATAGCCTCTGAGAGGGAATTCAGGAGGCCTACAACATTCTTCTTGATTCTACTTGGCCTGTTTTCAGGTTGCAGCTGCTCCCTGGTGGATGCCTGTTAAAGGAGCTAATTGGAGGCAACCTGAGGGACCAGATTCTAATATCTCAAAGAGGTGAGCCAGGCGTGGCCTTTCAGTTTTAACTGTGGTATTTACTTTAAGCGTCTGTACAAGCTCAGCACATGATGGGAGACATGGTTCAAGATGGGCTTTTTTTCTGTTGCATATACAGATTTAATCTTTCTAATCCAGTGCTCTGCGGATCTGACTGGTGCCTAACCAGAGAATTTGCCAAACCGTGGGAGGTCATTATTCTCTAGCAGCATTGCCAACACTTTTACTGCTTACTGGGCTCTTAAGACATGTAAGGGTAAATTAGATATATTTAACAGCACAGAACACTGAGAGCTAGGGATGTAAGTGGCTACTCGACAACCCGATAAGCATATGCCTAAAGGGTAGTCAAGTATAGGGATGTTAAATATCGGTTAATTGAATAGTCGATTAACCTCATGAATTCTTATCGGTTAGTCTAATATTTTGTGGTCCCCAGGAAGCCCCTGTCTTGGGGAGAGGGATCTGAGCTCCCGGACCCGGCACAAGCTGGAACTAAGCCTGGCTGCCTGCCCTAATTGGCTTCTAACACACTTTAAAGCAGAGCTACAGCAGAGTTAGGTACAGGACCCAGTGCAAGCCGGGACTGAGCTGGGCTGCTGGCCAGCCTGCTAAAAAATTTACTGGCAAGGGGCGGGTAGTATAGTCGATTAACTGATAAGGAAGTAAATTTGCTTAATTGACTATACTATTACATGCCTAGTCGAGTAGTAACTGAACTAGTTGCTCTCTCCCCTCTACCTCTTTTCTCCCCCTCCCCCCCACTGCCTCTATCAGACGGAGACAGCAAGGGGGAGGGCAGCGGGTGCTGGCTTAAAAGCTGGTTTTCCCCCCAGCACCATCTCCACAGGGGGGCAGGGGAAGTGGAGGCACAGTGAGGAAATGGCATGAGCTGGGACTGAAGCAGTCCCCGCTCATACTGGTCCAGCTGCTGTGCCTCTCCCTTTGAACTGTACCAAGAGCCCCACAAGAGCTACATTTCAAAAGGAGAGGCGCAACCCAAGGCAGGTGGGGACTGCTTGAGTCTCTGCTGCTCTTCTGCCTTTTAAATGGAGTAAGAGCCACGAGCAGCTCTTACTACATTTAAAAGGTAGAGGTGCAGGGGGGATAGCCAGTGCCCCATCCTACCCCTTATTGACTGATTGAGTAATCGATGGAAATTCCATCGACTGTTCGATTAGTTGATCTTGATATCCTTACTGAGAACCAGGACTAGTGGCTGTAAACAAAGTTTATGGGACTGTGAGAAATTTGGTTACGCCCATAAGTGGACATCCAGCTAACTAAAATCAGGCCAGACTATGGATGGGGCCAGACCAAAGAGTGCCTGACTAGAGAGGTTCAACTTGTACTATTGTAATTGCGTTGTCTTATGCATTTGCTCCAGTGAAAGCATTACCACTTGAAAGAACCAATAACCTCTGTTACAGTCTGATTAAAATACATCCACTGGGCACTTGATATTGATTTGAAGCCTGTTTGGACATTAGGTGTCATGGTCTGTTTTGATGGTCTGGGACCTACCTATCGGAGAGAATGCTATGACTGAGATCAGCAGAGGATGCTCTGGCTTAATTTCTCTTTGCAACCCTCCTCCTCCCCTTTCATTATAAGAGAGTTGCATGTAAGGCATTCTCTGAGTCTGCTCCCTGGTTCAAGAATTTGGAGGCCATCCATTTTATAGAGAATGGCTGAGGCTATCAGGGGAAGGAATAACATTTTGAAAACTACCAAAGCAATTTAGGATCCTAATTCTCACTTAAGTCATTTTAAGTCTCACTGACTTTAGGAGTTGAAGCCCTTCTGTGCTACCCATGGGTCTGTTGGGGTCAGGGGAATGAGTGTATATTCTTTCATGGTGATCTTTGCAGAATGATACCCTTATGTAGAGGTAAATCTTGTCATTGTTAAGGAACTTGTGTTTGACGTTTTCTATTGGTAAAGAAATGATGGTGAAATAGATGATGATCTGTAACTTTACTAAAAAAGACTGGTCAAAGTTTCACTATCTCACTGATCTATTTAAGGTTATTGGGGTGGAGGGAGGGAGAGGGAGACAGACTTTTTTTCAGCTTATGTCTGATAGAAGCTGACGTATTGAATACCATAGGGATGGGGCTTCATCTCTTTAACATCATTTGATGGTTGGTGCACATCATCTAGTCTCCAAGGGGGAAGAAAGAGAAATTATCTGAAGCAAAAATAGAGGAAATGGTACCAAGAGACAAGGAAAAAAAATAAGGAAAAGAGATTTAGGTCATCGCAGTTAACAGCTTTGGAAATGTGCTCGTATGAGCCTTATATTTTCTAGGAGTTTGTGAGACTGGCCTAGTGCATTGATCTTTATCTAACCCTTTCTTCAAACTTCTCATCACAAAGAAATAATCTAAAAGGTCAGGAGAGTAGCAAATAATGAAGTTTAGTGGAGATTGGGAGATGAGTGGGGAAAGTGAAAGGAAGGCCATTGTTTAATACAGTGAGTCAGAAGCTTTCTGCCTGCAGCTCCTGTGCCAGAACCCCTACTAGCAGGGTGGTGACTCACTTTGCCAGAGGCTTGTGGCAGAAGAGGGTGGGGGGGGGATGAGGGCAAGGACAGGGAGGGGTGCTGTGACCAGGATAAATGAGACCTTCCACCAAAGAGGGCTGGAATAGTCCCATTTAGGTAGGAGAGGCTGAGATAAACATGGAAGTTATTAGGCAACAGACAGGGCTGGCTTGTTTGTTTTACTGCAAATTACTACAGCTGCAGAATGGTAAGGTTTGAAGAAGCTTGAGGCTAAGTGAGGGTTGTCCGGTATTCTCTCCTGCTGTTCTCTTCTCTCCCTATGCCCCTAAGAAAGCAAATTTCTTTAACAGATTTGAGGAGGGGAGGGAAAAAAAAAACAGAATTAAAATAAATAGCATCAACAATTTAAAAATCTAACTCTACAAACGTAAACTGCCACATTTCTGACTTTTTTAGTTTCACCATAAGTTACAGCATATCCTTAAAATAAGAGCAGAAATAGGGCTAGTACTGCAGTCTCAAAGAAGTTTTGGCCTCGTCCTATGAGGTGCTCAGAAGCTATTTTCTCACCCAAGTCAAGGAGCTGTTAGTGGTCACTAACTGTATAGCTCACTCCTCATGCATGCTCAATATAAGGATGGAAATGGGCATGACGGTGAAATAAGAGTGAGCTGGATCTGGGGGCATAGTGCATATTTGTGGTGCATCATGCTGTTATGTAAAATGTCTTCCGCTCTCAGTTCCTTTTTCTGTTACTTGCTGTTCTCCATTTGCATGTGTTGCTCTTGATTAATTCCTTGCTCTGGTATTTACTTCAATAATTTCTTTGCTGTAAAATTAACCTCTGCTCCTAGTTCAGACATAACTATAGTCTAGTGTGAGGGATATAAAAGTTCCATATACTGTTGATGGCCCATTATATTAAATCATGACATGGTCTGATGAGTTTCATAAATTGCTTTCCCTGTTGCTGGGTAATAGCTGTGAGGCTGGTTGACCCTGCTGATGTCCTCGTTCTGTATTTTTTGTTTTGTTTGTTCATCAGAATGGATCACCCAGTTCTTCATGTCTCCTGGAATGATGCTGTAGCGTATTGCACGTGGGCGGGAAAGCGATTACCCACAGAAGCTGAATGGGAGTACAGCTGCCGAGGAGGCCTTGACAATAGGTACTTACCAAGACTCTTTCCTCGTGAATGCAGCCGATACTGATATCTCACCATCCAGAGAGAAGCAGTGTTTTATTTTCCCTAATGTTTTTCTTGGACTGGCACATGCTTTTGCAGTAATTGTAACCCTACTTTATTTTGTACAGAATCGTTTGTGTAATGTGTATCCCAGAAAATGCTTTAGTCCCATATAAAGTTGGAATAATTAAGAAACCAAGTGAAACGAGGCTAAAATTGAGACGAATACTGTTGCAGGCTACATGAGTTGTGGCATAAAAGGGTTTTGCTGCCACTCCAAAATTGTTCAGTCAGAGACAACTCGTTTGAGAAACTAAAGGACTGGGCAGGAGGAGTCATAATTCCTTTCTTTGCACAGACACTACTTGGTTCATCTGTCAATCATTGTATATACCATAAAACATTATCTGAAAGAACAGCAGGTTATGCGTCAGAGCTTCATTTACACTACAAGAAACTTCCATTGTTTTTAAGACTTATTAAACGTGGGTTTATACAGCTGGAGTTGGAATGTGGATTGTGTATATTCTATATGTCCCGCTCCTCAGATGTAAACTGCATAAAGAATATTTACTTTTTATTGCTGCTACAAAAAATTACAAACATCTGACAAAGATGGGAGTTGGGTTTAATTTTTTAGGATCAAATCTACTTAAAATAGTTTGTGGTGTTTTTTTTAACCGTAATGCTGCCTGGTTAGACAACCATATAAGTCCACAACACTGACCAAGCGCTTGCATTCCTCCAAGTATTTTTGTGAGCATGAACTAGATCGTCAGCTTTTCATTGATTTGATCTATTCAAAATAGCTCTTTGAGACTAGCAGCAGTCCACTCCCTTTCTCTTTCGTCCCTTCTGATGTCTCTAATTCTAAAGGCTAGCCATGCTTCTGACAGCTTGTCTCCTGTGTTTCTTTCAACAGACTTTTCCCATGGGGCAATAAGTTTCAACCAAAAGGTCAGCACTATGCCAATACTTGGCAGGGAGAGTTCCCAATAAGCAATACAGGAGAGGATGGCTACAAAGGAACAGCACCTGTAAGCACGTCAGATTACATTAGCAACACTTCTTGCACCTTCAGCCTTTTAAGCTACAAAATGTTTAAATCCAGCTATTGGTGTTACAGTGAAAAAGGCTCTTTTGAAGGTTTCCATCATGCAGCACTTTCACTGCTCTTAAAATGGAGAAAGGCACTGTATTTATTCCTACAAAGTGTGAAATGGAGGCTAAAAATAACTGGTTGAGTGTTTTAGCTTCACTAAATTAAGCTTTATTTCTGCTTTTGATTTAAAAACAATACTTAAGGCTTAAAATGGTTTTTGACCTAGAGTGGTGTTTGGCTGTCATGCTGGGTAAATACTTGGTTTCCTGACCCCTCAAATAGTGTGGGTTTTTTCATTTGGTATTGATGAAGATGTGAACTTTTACTTCCATTTATAAAGGTTAGGAGTGTCTTAGAGAGGAAGCCACAACATTTGTTAATGCTTGCAAAAGAAATGCATGTTGAGGTATTTTAAATATGTAGACTGCTGTGAATGCTAGTATTTTAAAGAGAAGTGGTGACTAGAAGGGAAGTCAGAACCGGCAGAAATTGAAGCACTCTTTAGTCTCTTGAGGGGAAATACAGCTTTCACAAATGGGCATATCTTCTGGTGCTTACAGTGACCCATTGGAGTCTAATTCCCGTTAATGCAACGTGTGACTATGTGTCTGCATGCAGATTGGAAAATATCCCAGCATTTGCTCACAGGTGCTACTTAGTATTTCTTAAAATTAAATCACTGGCTTCAACAATAGCAGGGTGAGCAAGAAGATAATTTATGATTTAACAATAATACCTGTAAGTGTGGGAGAGAGAACCTTGAGAATATACTGGCGCTGTCCATAACAATGATGGATTTGTATTGTCATTTTAAAAAGAAAAATCAAGGTTTCCATAGTTCAGCCCTTTTGTGGATACAATTCCGAACTCTGAGTATAGACCCTGATTAAAATAGTTTGCTTTTTCCTGAGCCTCTCAATTTCTGTATGGGCAACTTCTTTCTGATTCAAAGATTTGAGAGAAGGAACATCTACCCAGTGGATTTTAACTGGTTGGTCATCAGGAGTTAAATGCTATTTCATGCCTCAAGATGGTAATAAATGATTTTTCAACATTGTTTGCGCTCCAGGTTACAGCATTTCCTCCAAATGGCTATGGCTTATACAACATAGTGGGAAATGCCTGGGAGTGGACATCTGACTGGTGGGCTGTTCATCATTCTGCAGATGAAACTCACAACCCAGTGAGTATGTTTTTAGTATCAAATGTGCGGTGACATGCCTTTTTTGCTACTTTGCTTTATCGCTAATTAAAGACAGAGCTCCCACCACCATGCCATTTGTAGGATTGGCCTGGATCTGGTGAGTCAGTCTCTTATCGCCTCTATAAGTTGTTACTGCCTTACAATGACATTGTAGAATTTTTAATACGTGACATCAATTTGATAGGTCCATCCAAGATCTGGGAATTGAATGTTTTCATGTCAGACTTGTAACACAAAGACTTATTGGTGCTACAGATTTATTAAAAGCAATTATTAAAAGTTCTTGTGTATCCCAAGAGAGTGTAAGATGTAACAGCAGTGCATAGAAAAATGCGAGATCCAAGAAAATGGCACAACTCATTACACCAGCAGTTGCAAATCATAGGTTACAACTTACTTGTGTAGAGTGAGATATTAAAACACCATCTCATTGAATGATAGTAAGGTGTGTTGAAGCAAATATTAAATGACATTTTGGAAGAAGTAGCACATCATCAGGATACTAATTTGGAACTGATGGGTTATTCCTTTTCTTTGGAATTTGTCCTATAATGAAAACACAGTATTGACTGCTACTTTTTGGGGGGGGACCTCTCTGACTGTTTTGTGCTATGGATTCCTTTACCAGTCTCTCATTAGACTCCGGTTCCTGCATGACCCCTTGATTTCTTCTCTGATCAAGAAGTAGTTCCCTTCCTAGGTTTAACTCGGTACTCTCCCCCTTACAGTGCTTGGTCTGTACATATACTACTATCTCTGAAAAGAGAGAGCTGAAATCAGTCTTCTCTGGGCAGTGGCTATGTCAGTCCTGAGCGAGACACAAGCATTATCACCATAATCACCTTCAGGCAATATTCAGACCTGCAATATATAAAGGTTATGATCTTCTCCTTTAATTGCCACTTGACATAGTCACAGCCTTTTCTCATCACACAGTAATGGTTGGTAACAGGAGCAACTCCATTTCTGCTACTTGGTAGATTGCAGAGCCAACCAAGAGAAGTCAGACTCATTCCAGAGTGTAGGGCTCATTCTTGCTTTCCTAGTATCCAGGAAGCAGCTTATTTGGTTGCATGTGCCAAAACACCCTTATAAAATAACAATTATGCTTTCCTATTTTGAGTTATCATGGGCTAAAAGGTGGCCTAATCTTCTTCCTTGTGTTAAGCTTGTTTAACTTCTACTGAGTAATTTTTAAACCTTCAGTTTTTCTTGCTTGATTTAGATCTGGGTCAGGCATTTGGGGTGTAGGAAAGGGTGAGGAATCCCATTCAAGTGTGAGCTCTCTTGTGAGAATAAGAATGAGATGTTTGGGGGGCAGGAGATGGCTTCAGGTTTGGGATGATGAGTTTGGAGTATAGGAAGGGGCTCTGGGAGGGAGTTTTGGTACAGAATGGGGTTCTGGCTTGGGGAGAGAGGTTGGGGGGGGGCAGGCTCTGGCCAGGCAGCACTTCCCTCAGGCAGCTGCCTGGGTCTCCCCCCCCCCCTTTTTTTCCCCCAAGTTTTCTTGTGTTAAAGGAGCTTGGGAATACATTTCTGGAAGATGTCCAAGTGCTTCCTCCTTAAGCCTAAGAAGAAAGGGTTGTTGGGGGGGCTGTGGTGTGGTTTTTTTTTTTTTTTTCCCCTTATCTTGGTGGTGACAGCTACCTCCCAAGGCCAGGGAACCTGTGATCTGGGGGAGTTTTTGCAAGCAGAAGCCTATAGAGGGCAAGGTATTTAAGGTCTCTTGTGGGGCCCCCACTTGCTTCACTCGGAGTGCCAGAGTGGGGAATAGCCTAGACACAAGGTTATTTGTATCCACAAATCATGCAAAAAGCCAAGACTGTGATTGTTGTGTTCTTTCACACAAGTAAGGTGCGATGAATGAAGAAGATTCTCCAGCAGCAGTTCTGTTTTTCCTAGGTTTTTGTACTGTTACCAGTCAAATACAGTGACTTGAGCTAATAGCCCTTGAAGCTGTCTGATAACAGTTACTCATGTGACTTTGACTGAACTGGAAGGAACCAATAATGTTTTGTTTTCAGACAAAACGCTGCAGGGGGCCCATTAAAAAAGGAGAGAGGCTCAATATGCTAATCAAAAGCCAAAGTCAACCTGAAAGACAGTAACAGCAGAAACTGTTCAACAATGCAAGATGTATTTTATGCCAAAATTTTTCTGATAACTTCAGAGTCATAACTGAACTTTTGTGGTGCAAGTAGTTCACAGTAAAGGAAGACATATGTGGGATGGTGGAAAGGTTGGATCTAAAAGTGAAGAATGGTGCTTACAGTGGTGGAAAAAGAATGGAGGAAATATTTCCGCACAACTCAAAGAAGCCCTGACAATGACACAGGTATTCCCAAAGGCTCTCTCTTCTATTTAGATGTTTGCTATAAACTAAGAAGATAGTGTGTTGCCTCCCTTGAAATCATCCCACAGGGTTCTTACTTTGGAATCTAGATGCTTAAGAAAAAAATGTTTGCCAAGTCACTTGGAGATGCCTACAGAAAACGGCAGTCAAACAAAGGCTCCTAAGAAACTCCGTACACTTGTCAGTCTTGAAATACACATCAAAATGCCATGACTCTTAGGTAGCTCTTAGAAACTGTCTTGTCACTCTGGCTTATTGTCAACCTGATGAGTTGTACACTATTGGGGGAGATTTTCAGAGGCCCCAAAGATAGGTGGGCACTCATTAAAAATGAAAGAGCTGGGCCCTTTCTCTTCTTCATGCCAGTGGTATTTCGTGACTACAGAGTCTTGATTCCAATGCCAAGTAACACAGCCCTGGAGTTAATATAACCAGTCAATCATTGGATGTCATTGTTGAGACACTCAGATAACGCGAAAGGCTCTAGCAGTCAAAAGTGTCTGAGGCATAAAGGTTTTTGGGGGAGAGAGAATCACAGTTGGTGGATGAACATACAAAGAAGGGGTGAGAAGAGTGCTGCACTCGTGGTGCTGAGGGCTGGCTGTCCCTGCCCCTTCTGCCTGCGAATCCTCCTCTTCCAGGATGATGGAGCTGTTTCCCCTCCCTTGCCCAGTGGTTTAGCAAGTCTGACACCCCCCCCCCCCCCCAAAATATTCATGGTTTATGCAGTACTGTAAAACGTCAAGCAGATTAATACTAGCCCCAGGACAGAACATCTATAAAAATCCCTTCCGTGATCAATAATATCAAGTTGAATTTGGGTGGATTCTTCTGGTATCATTTTGACTACGTTGAACAATTTTATACTTCCTATATTGGGGTTGTGATTTTTTTCAAAACAGTTCAGAATTGGACTAACAAGGAGAATTAAGAATTTGGACTCTCACTCGTTCTTATATATATGGCAATTAAACAACCAAAGCGAATAAAATTGAAGTTTTCTTGTGCCAGGGTCCCTTCTGCTCATAAACTTAGTTACTTACATAGGAGTGAAGAAAACTGTCTTTTACTAAATCAGCAATGGGTTTCCTAGGCTAAAGTAAGCTTCCTGAGTAGCCTCCGCCATCACACTTCATCTCAGTGGGCTGCAAGATTGTCATAACCAAGGTGGCCTCGTGGAATTAGGATGCTTTTGCTAAGACTTGCATATGTACATTTTGCAGGTTGTGCTGATTGAACGGTAGCATTACTTTCCCTGGATGCAAAGCAAGCATGTGGCTCTTTACAGCCGATGTTGTGTGCAATCAGCAAGCACGTGCCCTGGCTGTGGGCAACAGTAAACAAATAGGGTTGTCATGCGGCCGCGCCCCCCCCCCCCCCCCCCCCAGAAAAAAAAAAACGCGGGGGAAAAATTCTGTTGAAGGGGGAAAAAGGGGGGGGGAGGGGAAAGAACAAGTTGTTGAGCAAAAAAAAAAAGGACTCCAAGACTTAGCGCAAAAAAAAAATAAAATTAAAATAAAACAGCATTAAAACAGCATGTCCCCTTCAAGAGTGAGTGCAGGGATAGGAACAGGGGAGCGGTTTAGCACTAAGACTCAGGGGAAGCAGTGCCAGGAGCCTTGCGGAACCCAGTAAGGCTGGGGTCAGGGGGCTGGGGGTGTTGGGAGCCGGGGGAGGGGAGCTGGCGCTGAGTGTTTGTAGGGTTGTCAGGTGCCTGGCATTTTCACCTCCTGGCCGGGGAAAAAATCAAAAAGTACCGGACATCTCAGGTGTCCAGTATTCTCTGGATTTTTTTTTTATCGGACAGGAGGTGAAAATACCAGACTGTCTGGGTAAATACCGGACACCTGGCAACCCTATAAACAAAATGTCTCCACAGGGGCAGGTATAACCCAGATGGGCCACATGCTCTTTTTGTGAGACATGAGGAGCAAGCCACTTTTATTTTGAACTCCCAATTCCCAACAGATTTATTGTTTGTAAATGTCCCTTTACATATTGGCTTCAACAAATAAAAAGGTATGAATTTAACTCTCCACTTCACAGCATCAGTACAGTGTATCACATCTGAAAGGCTTTGGTAGCAGTTTAAAAGCAACAGACAAATGAATTTTGTCATTCTGTTACAAATTCAGTAATTGTAAGTCTAGAAGATGAAGCATGTTATAAATGTGACTACTTTCCTAGATAGAACATGCTGAACAGGACTTGGGACAGAGCTTTCTCTTCAGATACAGTTTCTTTTTAGTTATCAGTCCGGATAGCAAGTGTTCAAGGCAGTAGCCTCCCTTCTCTTGCAACAACCCACCACTAAACCTTTCATGTGTACATGAGGGATCCGAAACAGGCAGGAATAGTAACAGGACAACATAAAATAGCTGATTTAGGAGATCTCCTTTGATACGTGATTGTAATGGCTCCCTCCCCACTCTGGCACGATAAATGCAGAAGTGGGGGCCAGCTAAGTATCCCAAAACCTTATCTACCAGGCTTTGGTATAAAACTTACCCCCAATATCTTAACCTAGATTTTGGGGATAAAAAACTCTGCTGCCACCACCCAAGTATTGATAAGAAAATCAGGGGAGAGATCACTTGGGAAATCTCACCCCTAAAGTACAAACCAG